TGTGTGTGTGTGTGTGTGTGTGTGTGTGTGTGTTGTGTGTGTGTGTGTGTGTGTGTGTGTGTGTGTGTGTGTGTGTGTGTGTGTGTGTGTGTGTGTGAGAGAGAGAGAGAGAGAGAGAAAGCAGCGCATGACTCACTAGTGAATGAAGAATCTGTCCCCGCCCGCTGCCGCTGCGCTAGCAGGTAGGCGTCTAAGTAGTCTCTCACGTCTCCCTCTTCCTCCGGCGCCTGCTCCTCGTGCTCTGCTATGTTACTCTGCAGCTCCTTGTTCACCCCTGCGTACGCCGCGTCCAACTCTTTCAGCATGCGGCTGAAGACCGGCAGGTGTCGCAGCGCAGGGTAGAAGTTAAGCATGCCCTGTGTGTGCAACACATATAGCGTAGCAATTTCCGTGTGCAGCCAAATGACAACTTTTGTCCGGAGATTTTTTTGTTTTCCAGGGGAGCCTAATGGTACAGTTTAAACTGACAATGGGTATACGTAGGATTAACACGAAGCCATTTCACACAGGATTTATCAGGAATTTTTCATGACCTAAATGAGCCCATTTTCCATAATAACTATAAGACTATGAGCTTACTAAGCTAACTGGTAACAGCTAACTAGTCGACTATAATAATTGAAAAACGACGGTACGTACCTGTATGTTACCGACGGTACGTACCTGTATGTTACAGACGGTACGTACCTGTATGTTACAGACGGTACGTACCTGTATGTTACCGACGGTACGTACCTGTATGTTACAGACGGTACGTACCTGTATTTTACCGACAGAACATACCTGTATATTAGCGAAGGTACGTACCTGTGCGTTACAGACGGTACGTACCTGTATTTTACCGACAGAACATACCTGTATATTAGCGAAGGTACGTACCTGTGCGTCGGTATCATGGAAGATGGTGTTGATGTCGTCGTTAAGTCTGAGGAAGGCGGGGTCGGCGTAATCGTACCGAGCACCAAATATGATGGAGGCAATCACGTTCAACACACAACTGGTGAGCAGAGCCTGCGGTGCCGACACAAACACGTGTATATGTATATATGTATGTATGTACACACACTCACGCACACACTCATACACGTACACACACGGACACACACGCACGCACACTCACACACGCACGCACATACACCCACAAAAGTGGATCAAGTGATTGCAAAATAATCGGTGTATGATAGAGGAATAAGGGAGCGTCAGTGCTAAAGAAGAGAGAGAGAGTGTGAGAGTTAGAGATGGATATATATGTATATGTATACAATATTTCTGGTTATTCTTTCTACCTGTGGATCGATCGCCTGCCCATTGGTGTTGCTTAGATGTGCGAGACAGGCGGACGCCTCCTCCTGAATTTTCTTCTCTATGCTGACCTTCCCCATGCCGAACTCACGCAGCTTGGTGAGCGCGAACTTTCTATGCTCCTTCCATAGCTTTCCATTGCTAAACCCAATTCCTGTACGAGACACGAGAATCTAGAATCTCCGTGAAAATACGCAAAATAGTTGTTATGCTAATGTAATTATCATTTTGAAATTAGTATAATATTAAATTAATTGTTGATAATATAATAACAAGGACAAATAATCCCTTTATGTATCAGGTACTCTCATGCGCTCCTCGAATTTCTGTGCCACTAATACTAATTATATTGTCTACTGATGAATTTTTATTATTAATAATAATTCATGAATTTATGAATTAATTTTCGCCGGGTCGTTGGAAACGAACTGAACGAACACTGAATGTTATTGATTTCAAAAACCCAGCGTTATGTATCAGGTGCTCTCATGCGCTCCTCGAATGTCTGTGCCACTAATACTAATTATATTGTCTACTGACGAATTATTATTATTAATAATAATTCATCATTGACATTGTGGACTAGAGACTAGAGTCAATGAAAACCTTCCAACGTACTTGCTAATATAAGTCTCTGCTTTTGTTCTAAAAGCCTGGAACAGCTGCTTCTGATTTTCAGGGACTCTCTCTGCAAATGCTTTCCAGTCAACAGCCGATGTTGCTATCCTTTTAGCAGCCATTTCAAAATTCGACGTTAGTTACACATAAAACTATGGCTGTCGCCGGTCGAATCGTGACCTTTCCTTTTCTGAGGATAGTTGAACTAGTTCGTATCCCCTAAACTTTCTCTGTCAATGTAGTGGTGGCAGCACTTGCCAGGAAATATGCGGAATAAAAAAAATTCTGTCGTTTTATTGATCTGCAAATTCAAACATTTTAAATTTAAATACGATGATTAAGCAGACTTTCTTACATACTGTGCATACATTAGCGCAGTTTACCTAATAAAAAGTATCGTCCGCGCTAGAGTGTAATTGCGGAGAAACGTGTTTCCACGATTAGTTATCCGCTGTGGTGCAGCACCCGTCGCCAAACAAAATGATATAAAATGGCGAAACCGTGATTGCGTTTGACTTTACGTGAGCGAACATCGAGCGACATTTCCCAGAAATTATGGTGATGTGATGCATATGGAGTGAATTTAATGCAGTTTTAACAAAAATATGAAGTTTGCTGAGCACCTAGGTGCTCACATTACGCCAGAATGGCGGAAACAGTACATTCAGTACGAGGCAAGTACCTATTTGTCGTCCGATTTTGGTTGGGGAATGTAAACACTGCACTGAAACAGTACTCAGGACAGTAGTGCACAATTCAGTAAGTGTGCAGTGTGCTATTATTTGTACACACAGGTTATTAATTTCTATTCGATTTACATATTTTCTTTCAACATTACTAAAAGTACTTAGTTACTAAGTTCGCACGCTAAATAGCACGGTTGAGCTGCGTCGCCGTCAGACGATTTCTTACTTCACTGATTTTCGACAACAAGACTCAACAGTCACCATGACTAGGTCTAACTTCCAGATGAGACGGGATACTAGAGAAGCATTGCCGGTGCAAATACACTTTATGACGTCCAGTATGGCGGCGCAGTATGGGGGCGCCTAACCCTAACCCTAACCCTAACCC